ATACGGTAGTCATGTCTACAGATCTGTCACCAACTTGAGGAACAGCTTTAATTGAGCCAAGGGGTGGTCGACGAAATGCATACCTTAAAATGATGATATCCGACTCGATCGGCAGACAATAGCCAATAATTCATATTGCGAAAAAAAGTTTGTTTGAGAACAAGGAAACTCTCACAAGAAAACTTGAGTTAGTCGATTTGCCTTAAAACGTAAGCCGCCAAAAGTCTGTTAAAGAATTTCAATCTGCCAATCTGCGGAAAGCTTCTATAAAGGGAGTTGAACGACCTAGTTAATCATATTGGATGTGGTGAAATAGGTTCGATCTTGTAAATGTATTATCTTGGAACACAAGCGGGAAGTAACTTCCAGTGTGAAGTGTCTTGCCTTGTGCAGACGTTCTGCAATTTCACAGACGTTCTGCAATTTCAAAAAAACAGATATGATAAGCAAGCAGAGTGTTCAAAGGTATTTCACAATATGCATTCAATTAACGGTATTTCGAACATCATTATGCAAAACATCTTATCGAACCAATAAGTGATACTAAAGAATTGCTTCAAATGGAAATTCAATTGGGTGTGACGAATTTTCTAGTTGGTGTTAGCTTTATTGTCGGAAATAGCAACGAAGAAACAAAGTCCAATTTTAAAATAACAGCGAGAAAAGAAAAGAAGCATGCAAAGGTTCTGCTTGCATTTTATCAACCGTTTTCGAAAGCAAAATATGCACAGGAGCGGTAAAAGCCTTGGATTCCGTACGAGACAAATTTGTCACTGCGTAACCTTTGTTGCGAGGAAGCAACGTGCGAGTCTACATACTTCACCAACTGTCAGCAGGTCGTCCATAACTCCCTCCCTTTTACAGAATGGTTATGTAGATAAACAGCGCTTCGACTCAATATGTTCCTACCGTAGCTATGATAACAATCCTTTTTCTCACAAAATGCACACTTCGCTCTTTTCACAATGTTCTTAAAATTCGTAAACTTTGCTAAGACGATTGAAGTAAGAAGATCACGCACTAAAGGTTCCCAGAGGAAAGATAAGCACATGCCATTCTATGTCTTAGCACTATTTCGACTCTAGCTCACAAATTAGTGCTAATTTTTTTGAGTTGATGAGCAAGCCTATATCTGGTGCTGCATTTATATGTGGCATCTTGTAAGGATTTCCAAAACTGGCTCCAGCTAAAAAGCTTCTAAGGTTATGGTCTCTCTCAACACCAAAATTCAGCTTCAGGCAGATGGTTTCTGTTCTGGAATGTATTAAAAGTGATTTTGAATAGTACAAAGAATGACGGAGCAGAGGAGAGGGGAGAAGCGCTTTGGAACCTTTGAGACGAAACTGTGGAATTTTGTAAAGCGAAATACAAAACATGAAGTAATAAGTAGTTCTAATCACTATACATTATT